CCACACTTTCCCAGCTCTGCACGCGCGGTCGATTGTCATAGTAGGCGCCGTATAGGTAGAAAGTCAGATTGTGGCTGCGATGCACTTGCCAGTAGTTGTTATGAAATTGAAGTTGCAAGATCTCTGGGTATGGCGCACAGCTTTCATTGAAGCGTAACTCGCCATGCCAGCGCTCTTCATAGAAGTCGATTGGTAGCGAAGGTAGCTCCTGTGCGATGAACGCACGCCGCTGCTCGTCGGTGGGTGCTACCAACACAGATCGCAATTTAGTGGTGCTTTTGGACAAAATATGCGTTCAATACTTACGCGGTCTTCGATCCACTACTAGCTCCTCCGCCTCTTCGCCCTTTGCATTATAACCATTTTCTGCTTTATCGGTTCTTAAAACGTCTATCTGCGTGGAAGCTAAGCAGGTCAGTATCACCCAAGTGTCTAATAGCAGAAGCAGAAGCCAGAGATGTAGACGTGTAGACAACATGCTCGTTTAAGTGCTTCTAGCTCTTCATGGGTAGAGCAGAAATATTTTATGAACACACAGTTACCACACACAAGGCGAGAATCATAGATAAGGTCCAAATTGTTACTGCAGAATCCCATTTAGTTAATTGACAAAATTAGATATTTTGCTTCGAAAGTTTGCAGAGTTTATGTTTTAAAATCGAATTCTACGAGAGTAGCGGCACAACATCCAAAGTAGTAAATGGAAAAATGGCAACGTTGATGTGGTTTCGGGGGGTATATCTTTCCCCTTCTTTCCCCTCATAGCATTTTTTTTTGTGCAAACTCCGGTACTTGGAGCAAATCTCTGAGACGTAAGTAATTGACTTATCGTTCAACGATAGGACAGTGCAATGCAGGAAGCTAGGGTTTTTTGAACTACGAAAAAGTGTCGCCTCATTGATAATTGTATTATACTTTCATTGCTTCTCTATTCATCATTCAAAAGTTTTACATTGAATCTCACATGCTTGGTGACCAACCGGCTTTTTTCCTCAGTTTGTGGTTGCGTATGCTGACGGGAATTCGACAGGGGTTTGACGAGTTGTCAAAAATTTCGTCTCATCCAATTGATGTAAGCAGAAAGTACTAGTTTTTCTTGTGTAAAGTTAGTTAGCGCAGACTTTTTTGTCCTAGTGCAGTCAACGAGTGGATCAGTCAGTTCGATGGCGCTGCTGGGAGCGAAAAATGATCGAATCTTGCCAGAGATATACGCCCACAGGCCGCTGAGTTTCTTTGAGCTCAGCTTTCTTAAATTCAAGCAGATGGTCAGTGCCCCTAAAGTCACTGAGTCTACGGAAGGATAAAAGTCGACTTGTTCGGGGGCCAAAAATTCCTAGTAGTCTCATCTCTGCAGACTGCTGCTTGTCTTTACTATTGAAATGCAACTGTTGTCAAATCGTCTAAGTGCCTCAAGATAAGTGGTGTTTCACCCAGTGTAATTAATTTTTTAGTTCCGAAATTTACTTTCAATCCACGGGTGGTCGCACTGAAACTCTGGATTTCAGCGGTACCGACGGCATTCACCGTCTACATCACCGACTTTACGCTCATACTGTCAGCTTTTTTATCGTCCCTCTCTCTCCCATTCGGCCGCCAGGCCGCTTGCAAATCCATGTGAATCTGCACTCGTCCTACATTGGCTGAGCATAACCCCAGACGCAGACCAAAGCCACCTCATAAAGTGCCTGTTAGACCAGTGCTCTCTTTTATCTTTAAAAGTTCAATCCCGCGGGCGAGCCTAATTTATTTTACCTCGTTCCTTCGTTCATATCATGATCACTAGAGGGTTTTTTGATCGAATTAGGGTATTAATGTGAGACCATTTTTTGGTTTTAGATAGCTTAAATCATCCTTTAATCAAGATCAATGCCCTTCCCTTGTAAGTATGGTGTGACACGATCGATTTGGCGGTACCAGTTTCGCTTCGCAATCGGTAACTATAATTCTGGATTATGTTGATTTCTATTTCGCCTCATTCTTTTGCAACGCGATCACTAAAGTACTCGTATCCGACCATTCCGAAGATCAATACTAAATCCAGCCAACTTCTGATTACTTATCATTAAAAATCATAGTAAACTGAAGATCGGTGCTCTACTTGCCTAGTGTTCAGGCTACGATCGCTAAGATCAATTTGGTTTGTATTTAGATTAATACTCTTGCCAAGTCACATTTTGTTTTTGGCTCAAGAATAATTCATTTGGCGAAAGGGCGATTCTGATTCTCATTTTCTTCATGGTTCCTCATATAGTACTCATATAACTACTGTTGAGGATCGATGATCTGTTTCATTCTTCATTTGCATGATCACAAATTGTTCTTGATGGCCTCGTTGGTACTCGATCTCTCAGAGGTAAGATATTTTTTTTGTGATCTGTACTTTTTTTATCGCAAATATTTCGCTACTTTACTAATTGTCTATTTTCTGAGAGCACTTTCAGAATGCAATTTTATCAATTCGTGAAATAGATTCCAAAAGGCAGAAAACAAAAGAATTCTTATCGAACGCTTGACGCTTGTAATATGTGCAACACAACAAAATTTACAAAGAAACAGGCTGTAAACAAATGTAGGTACACAAAGTAATGTACTTATTGTATATACATATGTACATATGTCTATCTGCACTGTGTACTTTGCCCTAAGAAGCTAAAATGCGTCAGGCGTTTGTGACTTTTTACTATACATACATTTGTATACAGCAGATATGTATATCTGTACATACATATGTACATTAGACCGACCCGAAAAAAAATTTCACCGTACACCCCTGAATATGAAGAATTTTTACAATGGAATTAGGGAAAAAAAAATTGTTTGCAAACCTAGGAGTCGTCTTTTTACATTTTTCGTCACGTTTTTGGCATTTACTGTCGGATCTTAAAATATAATATATAGATATTTTTGTCTCGATGAGACGATTTCTTTGTTTTTAAGTTCATTGATTTTAAGTAGCCTATTCTAATACTTATCTCAGTTCTTATCACCCTAACGTACCCCCCTAAAGTCGCCAAATATTAGGCTTTTGCTAAGGAAGTATTTTTGTTATTCCAATAGAACTATTTTAAACAAATTTATTTAATTTTGTTTTTAGGTTATGTTGCAGAATTTTAGATGAACTGGTGGGTAAGTACTAGAACGGGGTGTTTGAGGTCAATGAAGTTTAGAACAAAAAAGTTTCCTCAAATCGATATATCAAACTTTCAGATCCGACTATAAATACCGAGGATATGACGACAAATGTAAAATGGCGACCTCTACATTCGGCCAAAAAAAAAAGTCGAAATTGCCTTCGAATTGGAATACTCTTTAGCAAAAGTTTAATGCTTGTAGGCTAGCATAAATTTACTGATATTAGGGCGGTACGTTAGGTTGGTGGATAAATACTATAACAAATAGCACACACTTTGAGATTCGACTTTAAATGTAAAACAATGACGCCTAGGTTCGGACGAAAGAAATAACATTTTTTTGGAATTAGCCATGCAAAAATACTTTTCACTCAGGGGTGTACGTCAAACTTTTTTCCCTCTTAAATTGGTACAGTCTAATGTACATTAGACTGCATCACTCCCCATACAAAAAAAAAACGTAACTGTCTTTCCATTGGAATTATATGATCTATTATATTTTAAGACTTTCACCAAAATATTTCGGAAATACATTAAGCTGGACCGATTTAAAACACCTCCAAAAATGGAGTTTTTGAAGAATAGTTTTTTTAAATATTTTTTGAAAAAATCAACGACATAACATTATAAGTTTAAAAAAATTTCATAAAATTATTTAAAAAAATTTTCAACGGAATCATAATAATGAAATTTTTGATGTTGTTTTTGAACTTTTTTCAAATGTTAGTTTAAGAAAAACTTGAATAACTCAGCCAAATTTCACCCATTTAAGCTTAAGGGGTATCATGGGAAAGGTATTTTTCCTCATGATCGTCATTCCAAATTGAATTAAGATGTGTTGATATTTGAAAAAAATGTACGTGTATGAGTTTCTTTGCCAAGAAATAAAAAGTGTGAGATAATACCTTAACAATGACACGCCATAAGTTTAAATCGGTTTAGTTTTGGCCCAGTTATTCAAGTTTTTCTTAAACCAATCATTGAAAAAAGTTAAAACAACGCATCAAAAATCGCATTATTATGATTCCGTTGAACAAAATTTTTTTATATCTTTATGCAAATTTTTTAAGCTTAAACGGTTTTGTCATCTGAGAGAACTTTTTCAAAAAATCCTTTGCTTCAAATATAATAAATTTTGTAAATCCGGCGGAAAAACCGCAACCTTTTTTTAGTGATGGAATCTAATGTATATACACACATTCCCATTAATTTGTTGCTGTTTTTTTTATCTTATCGATGATCGATGTCAATACGAAATACAGCAAACACGATAACTGACAAATAAAGCCAGTAAAGGAGCGTGCAAAAATTATAAAAAATAAAGTTTGCTTCTATTTGAAGACCGAAAGCGAAAGTCCCCGCAAAAGCAGGGTTTCACACGCACCAAAACTGACAAGTAGCAAGAAAAGAGGATAAGAAAGAGACCGATATCAAAATATTTCTTCGAAAGATGTATGAGTAGTGCGGATTAATAGTCGAAACCCCCCACTCAAAAGTGTGTCCAATTCACAGCAAGTAAACCCCATTAACCGCGCTTAGGAAAACAAAAATTCGAAAAAAAAAAAATCGAAAAAATAATCAACTTTACAAACCCAAACAAAAACTTCACTCAGAAAGTGTCTTATGTTTGCACAGCGCCTCCAGGCACATACGACATTCTAATACTGCAAATTGATCTTTGAGCTTATGACTATGAGCGTACACACAAGCATTTGCTATGTGCACAGTACTACTTATGTTGTAGCGCAAGTTATCGACGTTTAGCGATAAGATTAGTATTTTATGTGTTTACTACCTCACAGCCAAGAATATCGGCGGCGGTCACCGTGAACTGCCTTGAACGCCAGCTGTGGGCCAAAAACAATTGGCTACAGTGAGCGCAAGCAGGCAGTTCAGTCGCAGACACCAGTAGCGTCAGTTCACAGCGCAGGAAAAACGTTTGACAAGAAAATGCAGAAACTACAGCTTTGTTTCTTAGCCACACTAGCCGCTTTGGCCATCTTGTTGCTAGGCCAGTTCCAAGCAACGACAGCAGCGGCGGCCGAAAGTCAATTTGATGCGCTCAAGAGTCAATTTCTGCCAGCTGAGTATAAAAATCGCAACTTTACAGTGGGTAAGTTGAAAGCAAGTAGCAAAATAGCTGTTCAAAATAATAGTATGCTATAAAAAAATGTCTACCAAATCTCCAGATGAGCTGAAGAAAGTGTTGCGCGAGAAGTGTAAGAAAGCCGCAGGTGGTGAGGAGAATTCCACTCTTTATCAGGATATCGAGAAGGGCATCACGGTGCTGACCACCTGCGTGGCTGGACTAGCCAATGTGACAGCGCTGCAAGAGGAAATTGCCTCTGCACGTCCTATTGGCGAGCTAGACACCGTCTTCAATAAGTACTGCGATAAGACACCGCAAGCCATGCAATGCCTGCGCGACTTCAATGCCAAAGTCCAACCCTGCCTCAGCGCGAAGGAGAAGCAGCAAAATGTTGTGCTGATGCGCATCGCCACTGGCCTCATTGACTTTATGTGTTCGCATGGCGGCGATCACATAGCGCTCTTCGTTGCGGAAGAGGGTCCCGAGTGCTTGGAGGCGAATCGTGAGGCGATCAATGCGTGCTTGAATAGCTCATTTCACGAAAGGCTGCCGAAAGATATTAAGGTGCCCGATCTGTTCGATTTGCCCGAATTGGTGCTGGAGCCGGGGCACTGCGTCGATTTGGAGCGCTTCCAAAGCTGCACCATACACCATTTGGAGCAGTGTCGCGAGATTACGCCAGCTAATGTGGCCGAGTCGGTATTTAAATTTATTAAAAATGAAACGAGTTGCAATCAATTTTTGCAAATGAAGGAGAGTGAGCGCCCAGTGTTGCTGAAGGCGACTGCGAGAAATGGTGGAGTAGCTAACAAGGCAGGCAGTGCATTGGGAGTGCTGCTAGGCAGCGCGCTGACATTGATGGTGAGCCGAATGTTAAAACTGTGAGGCAGTGGTGAGCCGGGAGAGATGTATTATTGAGGTAAAACAATATCGCTCTTAGCGATAAAAGCAGTGAGAAAAAATATATCTGTAGATAACGTTTCGTTCAGCTGATAAGCTTAAAAATTCTATTTAGGCATTTTCAGCATAAAAATGAGAAATAATCGATTCAAGAAATTATAAATTAATGAAATGTTATCGAAAAAGTGTGTTGAAAGGAAAACGAATATGCATAGGTATATCGAAATTTTTTCGATATGTTATAGACGTAAATTTTTTTGGAAAAAGCAAAAAAAAAGTGAGAAGTCGGTAAAATAAATAAGAGCCTCTTAACATGTTATTCGAAAGTCATCAAAATGAAAGTGCGTTTATCGATTTGTTATCGAGATAGATGTTTACCAAGCATTTGTTGATTTTAAGCCTTTTTAGCCTTTTCGTTATTAGCACTAACAATAATCGAATTATTTTTTTTTTAGCGAACAGTTCTTTGTTAATCGTAAAATACAAAATGTTATTCTTCAATATTGTAACAATTAGTTATCGATTTCTTTCTTGTTATTTTAAATTTTGCGATTTATTCAATCGCAGTAGAATGATTTTAGCGAAAAAGAGAGCTTTATGAAAAGGTTGATCGAGCTTAGATAATTTAAACGAGTAAAAAACAAAAAATATAGTATTTTCTAAATTTTTTGTAATTTAAATTTCCAAAAAATTTAAATGAAATGATCGATTCATATCGATTGTAGCTTATTAAATGATATTTATCGGTTGATCGATTTATTTTGTATTGAAAACATTAAAAGACTCTCGTGTCATTAACTGTAAAACTGTAACAATCAATATTTCGATAAATTTTTCCTTAGAAAAAAATATAATAAATATTAATTTGAACCAATGACTGCACAAATTTTCCGATAACACATAAATATCGATAACTAGATATGAAGTCGATTGATTACACAGTAGCAATTCTATGTTGCCTACGTTATTTATTTTAAGATTTCTTTAGTTTGATAACTTTCTTGGAGAATTTCAGCGATATTTTTTTTACTAATTTATCGATAAAAAATAAAAAATGTATCTGTGCTTATATGTATATAGCTTAAGCGACTATATTAAATATGTCGAAATAAAAATTTTTTCTCGAAAAATTTAGTTTTTATTGGAAAAACAAGGCTTGCGAGCATTTAAAGAGGTATTTTATAAAAAAAAACTTTAGGAATGGTCAGGAAATTCAAAAAGTGGGCACAGCGTTGAGCCTCTAAAAAACTGGTTTGTCCCCAGGGATGAGGGAAATTCGTCTCAAACTAGATCAGAATCATACACAACAACAAGGGCCAGGAACAACCAAAAATAAAATTTAGATTTATTTTTTAACTCTTCCTCCTAAACGAGAAAGATGTTTACACACTTTTCATTGATTTCTTTATCCTCCTCCTAATAGTACTAGGAAAGAACCTATGCGTGGTAGGATCGACAAATCTGGCCCAGCCCCGACAAGAAAAGATCCGACGCTCTCTACTAAGGCTGGTGACCGGTATTATTATGGGCCACTGCTTAATGCGAAAGCATCTTAGCGGAATGGACGAAATCGGGAGTGTGGAACACTACCTCTGACACTGCCCTGCCCTTGTGTGGGCGAGAAGACGGTCATTTCACCACCACCTTTTTGTCTGTCTGGTCGACCTAAGTGCAGCAGGCATTCACGAATTCTCGCGCTTTCTGAACCCAACCAACTGGTTCTACTTCTAGGTGAACGGACGAGTTCGAATTCAGGCTCTCAATTGGTATCACAACGGACCCACTGGGTATAAGCGTGTCTTGCAGTCCTTAAAAGCTGCTGTTGAATTGTTGATATTTATATACAAAATATTTTAGACTTTGGAAAACTCCTCTTTTACGAATTCAAAGGTGGTCCCTAACTTCTTTTATTTGGTTACTTTCGTTGTTACCTATACTAAAACCTCTTTGCATCTCCTCTTCTCTTCATTTCACCGCACCGCCTTCCTTCCACCTAAAGCTCCTCTCTATCTCCTACTATTATTTGCCTAAAAGTATGTACCACACAACCAAAAGCAACAAACAACTTTTCGCCATACAATCACGAAACGCTTGTTCTTGTCGAAGTACTCTTTGGCTGTTACTAGTCGTACTGTCGTTGTTATTCTTGCTTTAGAAAGTTAACAGCCGCAAAACTTCGGCTGTCAAAAGTTCTTTAATTGCCCTTAAAATGCAACAATGCGTCGCTTCATTGCTTAATTAAAAATTTTACAGCCACAGTCGGACACGTAACGCACGCGCCGCCAGCCTCTCAGTTACGAGCTGCATCACATTTCCAGGAAGGCGTTACTCTCTCTTCCTCTCTGTCTCGCTGTCTCTCTTGCTCATTCTTCATTACATTGCCGCTGCAGAACTTTGTACGATGCCTATCGTTGCATACACGTAGGAGTTTGAAGCGCATTGCATGACTGCGCCTTAAATGCTACTCGTCCGCTTCTGCTCTGCTCTAAGTACTTATCTGGCTTTTGTCGCCTGTTTAACGAACCGTCAAACCCCGAAAAGCAATCATGGTTCGGAAGTTGGCAGACAGTAAATTCAAAGTTTATATGAAAAAAGCTTAGTAAAAGTAAATGCTTTGCTGATATGTGAAGTTGTTGAGTGCCATCTTTTTTTAGTTAAACAGTAATTAAAAAAATAAATAAATATAAATTTAAAACGGGGACTAAGTAATTTTCATTCTTCTTTTAATCTCCTCCTCGCCCTCTCTCGCCATCCGCTCACTCTTTGGTACAACTTTCACTACCGTTACTCAATTATGCCTATAATTTGAAAGCAATTAATTGTTGCCGCCATTTGCAAAGCAGCCACAAAACCGGAAATGTAATTAAGCTCTCGTACAAAGCGGAAATTGTCGTATAATCTGCAGCGTACGCGATATTTTAGGCCAGACACAACAACAATTACGCAAGTAATATTCAAACAGCAGCAGCAGCGTAAAGTCTGCGAAAACAGTGTTAAAAACTTAAATTCGCCAGTGATGGCCAACCGGAATTTCGGGATTCATATTTTTTATAACTGAGAGTTTTATTGTAAAGCGGTTTCCCATTGATTTTTTTATTGAATTGAAAAAGAACATTGCCACGGCCAACCCTCTAGTAAATTGGAAGGCGGAATAAAGATTTTGGTGGTGCAGGCTTTTCGGGAATTTGAAACCATTTATTTATTTATTTATTTATTTATTTATTTATTTATTTATTTATT